CACACTCACCATTGATGTACTTGGTTGCAGAAGACATACAAATATCAGCTCCCAGGGCCAAGGGACGCTGAAAGGAAAGGAAAAGAACATCATAATTCAAGTTGGGCTGCACTCAGGCTCATTCCCAGCCATTCCAAAGGGCTCTGAGCTCACACAGGATAAACAAGGGCAGAAACAAACACAAAAACCTGAGGATGGCAATAGAACACGGGCCAAAAGCAGCAGTACAGAGAGGCACTCTGAATTCAAGGTAAGCACAAGAAAATGTGATTTGAAAGCACTGCTCCAACTCCCACAGGCTCCAGGAGAGAAGAGATTGAGCACATCCAACACACAGTGCGGAGCTGGGAAGAAACAGTTCTGCTCAGCTGAGGCAGGGACAAGCCATGGCACTGACCCCACAAAGTGCATTCCCATGGGAAATGAAGGACTCCAGCTGCAAAGCTAAAGAATTGCTTTCCTTTCCAGGTGCTGCAGATCCTCCCTGGAGGAGCTGAGAACATGAGCAAAGGAGGTTCCTGTGGCAGCTCTCTCCCCTCAGCTCCCAGCTCTCTGCCCAGGAGCCTCCTGAGGTGAGACAAACCAGGAGGTGGATGGGCAAGAGGTGCTGAGCAGTGCCAGATTTTTAATCAATCATTAATTAAGGCACTTGGCACATGGTATCAGCACATTCTGAAGAGTGAAGGGCATCACTGTTAAAGTTAAAACTTAACCAAGCAGGCAGATGCAGAGACTGCTGCTGCTGCCACATTAAATGCAGACTCCCACCCAGGGAATGTGGAGATGTCCAGCCAGAACCATCATGGAAAAGGCCTTTGACACTCAATATTGATGGACAGAACACTGTGAAGTTCTCCTTTTCTCAGCCCAGTGTGGTGTCTCACCTACTGCTCCCAGCAATTAATCATTAGCACTGTCTTTCCCTCCGCACCGGGCTGCTCCAGACACATTAACCAGCACCCTGTGTTCTTCCACAGCCCTTTCTGGAGGAAATTGAGAATTCTGAAGTGAACAACACATTGCAGGGCAAATCCCCAAGCCTCTGCTATGTCCCAGGCCAACTGCAGAGCTGCTTCAGCTAAGCATTAACACTTTCTGCAGAGTTCTCTTCATTCAGCAAGATCACAGCACCCTGAACAAAACCAAGCACTGCGCACTCTGCAAAAAGGGTGACTTTAAACCCACAGCACCAGGGCTTAGCTTGGTCTCCTGGGAAATAGATCTGATAAAATGCCTTTCCCATCCCTTGCCCAATCCACCTGCCCTGGGGCAGGTGACACACCTGGAAGTAGGCAGACATGAAGCTGTTGTCCACGGCCAGCAGCACCCCCGGGTGCCTGCGCACGATGTCTGCGCAGGCTCTGATGTCGATCACCTTCAGCGTGGGGTTCGTGGGGGTCTCGAGCCAAACCAGCTGCACAAACCCAAAAAAACTCCAGGTCAGAGAGTTCCCAGGGCTGGGCTGAGTCCCAGGGGCTCTGGGTGCTCAGTGCTGGCAGCTCCCCGGGCTTGGTGCGCTGGGGACGGGCAGTGGCCCTGCCAGAGCCAGGGGAGGCTCCAGCTGCTTCCGCCAAGCTCAGGGAGGTTTCCCCCAGCTGGGCTTGTGCCATCCCAGGGCATCCCAGCTGGAGCAGGGATCACCAGCCAGGACAGAGCCTTCCCAAAGCCTTTCCCAGCAGAGCTCCCTTCCCTGGAGCAGGGATCACCCAGCCAGGACAGAGCCTTCCCAAAGCCTTTCCCAGCAGAGCTCCCTTCCCCTGGAGCAGGGATCACCCAGCCAGGACAGAGCCTTCCCAAAGCCTTTCCCAGCAGAGTTCCCTTCCCCTGGAGCAGGGATCACCCAGCCAGGACAGAGCCATCCCAAAGCCTTTCCCAGCAGAGCTCCCTTCCTCTGGAGCAGGGATCACCCAGCCAGGACAGAGCCTTCCCAAAGCCTTTCCCAGCAGAGCTCCCTTCCCTGGAGCAGGGATCACCCAGCCAGGACAGAGCCTTCCCAAAGCCTTTCCCAGCAGAGCTCCCTTCCCCTGGAGCAGGGATCACCCAGCCAGGACAGAGCCTTCCCAAAGCCTTTCCCAGCAGAGTTCCCTTCCCCTGGAGCAGGGATCACCCAGCAGTGCCATGGAGCACCCCCAGCTCTGCATTCCCTCTGCTCTCCCTCACCTTCTCCCTGTTCCCTCCTCTCTCTCCAGGGCTTTCTGCCCTTCTTGGGATGCTTTCCAGGAGGCAGCACCGTGGGATATGGTGGATCCAGCTGTGCCCCAAGCTGCCCCCCCTCAGCTCAACACACCCCCAAACCCAACAGGAGCAAGGATAAAACAATTTAACATCCCTTTAAAATCCATTTCCCTCTTCCCTACCTTGGTGTTGGGATGTTCAGTAATTTTTTCTTCCAGCTTTTTTAAGTTTGTTAAGTCAACATAATCAACGTCTATATTATAATCAACTTTCATTTTCTGGAATAATTCTCTCGTGCCTAAGAAAAAAAACAAACAAAAAAAAGTCACAAAATGAAACAACTTCCTTAACTTCCATTCCCTGCTCTCCAGCCTCCTGCATCATGCAGGGACAGTCAGGAGGGCACAGCTTTATGCTGCCCACCATCAGTGGCACATTTACACTTTCTTTATTTACCAAGTTTAAAGATTGCTGCAGACTGAGTGATCATGAAATAGTAATAATGGGAATATGGGATCAGAGTGATTTAGGAGTACTTGAAATCACTGTGGGGTTTAAGATCAGGAAATTAAACACAGAAGAAGAATCAAGGGCCAGACTCCAGCTACTGTTTCCCATCACTCCAATAAAAATGATTCCTTCCTGTCTTTGAAGCCTTTCCCTGGGAAGATCAAAAGAACCCAGCAGCAACAGGTGATCAATGGACGTGCAGCACTCACACTGGAAACACTGCCTGGATTAAAAATTCATTGACTGGCTCCTTCTGCCAAGGTGATCCCCAGGGACTCAGTGTTCCATCCGAGCAGGAAGGGATGGAACGTGGAGGTGGATTCTGTGAGCTGAAGGAAACATCTGAGTGATGTTTGGGGGGTTCTTTTGGGAGAAACCCTTTCTTGATAACAAACCAAGCCCGAGGAGGAGCAAGGAAATTCAGCCCTGCAGGAACCAGGCCAGGCTGAGGTTTAAGGAGCAGGGAAAGTTCCCAGAGCTGGAGTGAGCTCACCCTGCTCAGAGAAGGACTCTGGCAGAGCTGGGTGCACTCTGCTCTGGGCACTTGTGAGGAAGAGGGGATTGATAACAACAGCCTTCAAAGAGCAGAGAGGGCCTACATGGGAAATTCAGAGCCATGGTGGATCCAGCTGTGCCCCAAGCTGCCCCCCCTCAGCTCAACACACCCCCAAACCCAACAGGAGCAAGGATAAAACAATTTAACATCCCTTTAAAATCCATTTCCCTCTTCCCTACCTTGGTCTCTGGTGTAATTGCAGCTTCCAGGCATTTTGGCTTTGTGCAGTCAACAAAAATTACTTTCAAATTATTTTCTGAGGCTATTTTCTGGAAATATCTGTTTGTGCCTTAAAAAAAACCAAAAAAAGTCAGACTTGCCTTGGCCTTCCTCCCTTGGCCTCTGAAAAGAGCCTGTCCTGTCACTGCCTCACTGGGAGCGTGGAGCCAGTGAGAGCAGGAGATGGATGTGCACAGCATGGAACCAGCACAGACACTGGGACAGACTGGGACACACTGGGAATGGACTGGGGACACACTGGGGCCAGGGGCTGCCTGCTCCCACTGCCTCCAGTGCTGCTGCACAAGGATGGATCCAGCTCAGCCCAGGCATCAGCCACATGAGGAAGCAGGAGACAAACCCAGGGATGGAGCTGGACATTCCTGAACCACAAGTGTTGGGCTCTTCCCCACCTTGGAGCTGCTCCTGCCCACAGCCAACAGCCAGAGCCGTGGTGACAGAACCACGGAAGGGTTTGGGATGGAGGGACCCCAAAGCCCACCCAGTGCCAGCCCCTGCCACGGGCAGGGACACCTCCCCCTGTCCCAGGCTGCTCCAAGCCCTGTCCAACCCATGAGATGCTCACTGTATTTGGCTCCATCGAGGGCGGCCACAGCCTTTTCCAGGCAGTCCCGAGTGGGGTTCCCAGAGCGGATGTAATCATAACCCTGGGGTGGGAAAAGGAAACAAACATCAGAGAGAGCACTGGGAAAGTTTGGAATAACAGCAGTTCTAGGTTCCTTAAAGAGCCCTGGCTGAGGGCATCCAGCTCCTCCCAGAGCAGCAGGAGGGTGTCCTGGCACAACATCCAGCTGGGCATCCCTGCTGGAGAAAGGGGCCTGGGGTGCACTGGGGCAAGGAGCCACATTCTCCTGCTTCTCCCCAGACATTCCTTCTGTGGCCACTGTGGGACAGAGGGCTCGGGCTGCACCGTCCAACCACCCTCAGCATGCCAGGCTGGGTCAGGCTGCAAGGGACCACGAGGGTGCCCTGCTCCCACTCCCTGCTCAGCAGGGCCATCCCAGAGCGCAGGGCACGGGATGGTGTCCAGACAGTTCTGGTGTCTCCAGTGAGGGAGACTCCTCAGCCTCTCTGCAGGGAATTCTCAGGAAAAACGTGTGTCCATCTCCATCACACCCACAGGGAACTGGACAACTCCTCTCATCAGTTCCTGACAACCCACATGTTTCCTAGTGCCACAGGTTTTATGCAAATTCTAGGGGAATTTAATGAGGAAAATATCACTCATGCATGCACAGATGCAATTGTTACCAAGAAAACCTGCTGAGCACCCTGGGATTTGCCTGCTTTTAGGATTTCTCTTTAATGTCAACTTCCTCATAGTCAGGAATCCTGCAGATCGCTCTGGCAGAGCTCCCGGCAAGAGCATGGATCCTGTCATCAGGATGTGGATACAGCAGCGTGGCTCCTCCTGAGGGCCTCCTCAGCACAGCTGGGATTCTGTGTGGAATGAGGAATCACAAGGCAAATTCCTCCTGCCCAACCGGCACAGTGTGAGTTTGGAGCAGGTGCTGATTTAGGAGTGGCAGCTTTGTGCCACGTCCTGTAAAACCTTTCTAGCACATTCTACAGGGCATCCACAAAATCCTTAGGAAATATTTTTGCTGTTTGGAAGGAAAACCGAAGCAGGCTCTTACACAAAGTGTGTGTAGTGGAACAGGGATTCTGCCCGGGCCCTGAGGCGGGTGCAGCGCCGGGAGCAGCATTCCTGCGAGCCCGGGGGCACTGCGTGCTCCCTGCTCCCCTTCCCCCGCCTTTCACACGGGAACCATCCCAGCCTCATCCCAAACCGCTCCGGATGGCCGCCCGCTGCGGGAACACCGAGCCCCAGGCTGGGTCAGGCTGGAAGGGACCACAGCGGCTCCTCCGGCCCCATCGCTGCTCAGCAGGGCCAGCCCGGAGCCCAGGGCACGGCATCGCGGGCAGGGGCTCTGCCATGTCCCCGTGAGGAGACTCCGCCGCCTGCCCGGCCGAGAGCCCCGCTCCCGGCACAGCGAGATGCTCGCGTTTGCCCAGGAGCGGCCGCGGGGGGAAACATCCGCGCCGGGAGCTCCCTCGGTGCCCAGCACCTGCCGCCTCCCGCTGCCCCGGCCCGGACACGCCGGATGCTCGCGGCCTCCCGGGTGTGCCCAAGCCCTGAATGGGGCTAAGGGTGACTCAGCGCCCCGGTGGCGGCCGCACTCACCGCGTGCTCGCCGGGCGCCCGCTGCTTGAAGGTGGTGGAGAGCGAGATGGGCGGCACCACGGCCCCGGAGCGCCACTGCTCGGGGTCCTGGCCGGCGTGGATGGCATGGGTGGCGAAGTGCTTGAAGGGCGGCAGAAACCCCTGCATCCCCTCGCCCGCCATGGCCGCGTCTCTGTGGGACCGGCCCGCAGCGCTCCGGGGGCTCGGCGGGGCGGGGCCTCCTCATTGGTCGCGGTGCAGAGGTCAGAGCAGGCCCAGACTCTGCTCCAGGCCCAGCAGTGGCCCCAGAGCCACGGGCAGGGGCTGAGCCCAGCAATTGCCCCGGCACAGGAGGCAGAGCTTCTGGCCTGGGCAGTGCCCAGCCCTGAGCAGATTGTGCAGAGAGGCTGTGGGCTCTCCTCTCTGGGGATATTCCAGAGCCATTGGGACACAACCCTGTGCTCTGGGATGTCCCTGCTGGAGCAGGGAGGTGGCTCCAGAGGAGCCCCTGTGGTCCCTTGCAGCCTTACCCATCCTGGGATTCTGTGATTAAAAATTAATTCACTGGGTCTCCCTGCCAAGGTTCTCCTACGTGGACTGACGTCCATGGAACAGCACTTTGACCTCTGAGGACAAAGGACACACGTGTGCTGAAGGCCACTGATGAATGATTTATGTATTAGATTTTGTAAGGAAACATTTTCTTTACAACAAAAATATGGATAAAATCTGAGCAAAGCTGGATCTAAGAAGAGCAAACCTCTGAATGTGTGCAGGACCACGCCCCAGCTTCACACACAAGCAGGAACCTGGGATTTAGGAGGGAGGAATTCCATCGTGTGTTGATAAACCTGCTTGCATTATCAAAGTTCTGTTGATAGGCAGACAAAAAAAACATTCTCAAGAATTTGCAAGTGTAATCCTACAGTTGGGATTCCCTACAAACACCAGTTTTCCCAGAGCCCTTCCCGTGAGTAATGCCTTGGTTCCATTTCTGGGGTGAATAAGGGAGTCCATAATAAGCTGGTAAACAGTGACTTCATGCCTCTAGTAATTAAAAATGCAGCAAGAGGCTTCCAACATCAGCTAAAACCTGAGCCAATCCCTCCATTCCACAAGACCAGCCGTGCTCCGTGTGTGTTTCCAGCACGGGAGAACAGGAGACATCAGAACTGCTCACAGCGCCAGCCTCTCACATTCTGTCTGCAAATGGGTTCGACTTTCCTCAAAAAACGAGGAGAGACAGAAAAATCTCACTGGAAAGACCACTGCAGCATAGAGCAAAAGCAAATTGTTGGGGGCTTTGTTCCCTAGAATGACTTCAAATTCTGTATTAGGACTGTAAAAAGCTGTGTGGGAAGCAGCTGGGGACAGCAGGCACAGGAATTCCTAAATCTGGCTAGAATTCTTCTTGGTCACTTGGGATAAGGGAGATGATGTGAACTTTGGAAAGGCAAGGTCACCAGGAAGGTAATTTTGTTACCACAGCAGGTCTGGTCTCCCTGGCAGCTTGGGGGTTGTTTTCCCTGGGAGAATTATTAAAAAATCCAATTCACCAAGAATTTAGGACATCATCATTTTTACAATTACTCATCCCATATTGGAAGCAGAAACTTGCAGAACTGGCCCAGGAGCAGGACGTTCAGTGGGAAATTGGGAAGCTCCAACCCAAACAGGTCCTTTCTGAGCTGACACTGCACCTACAAGAGCTCGCACCACGACAGGGAGACTTTCCTGTTTTTAACTTTGAGGAACACTTGTCCAGGTCCCATCATTTCCCAAAGAACTTTCCATGGAGGGTGGGAGAGCGCTGGAACCCCGGCTTAGAGAGTCATGGAGTCTCCCTGTCCCGGCCCCTCGGGATGTGCCCGTTGGGATCGATCCCTGATCCAGCCCGTCCCTCAGGGTGCGCCCGTTGGGATCGATCCCTGATCCAGCCCGTCCCTCAGGGTGCGCCCTTTGGGATCGATCCCGTCCCTCAGGTTGCGCCCGTTCGGACTGATCCTCGATGTCACTCCTCAAGATCTGTTCATTGGAATCCACCCCTGATCCCGCTCTTCAGGATGTGGCGGCTGGGATCGATCCCGGATCTCTCCCCTCAGGATGTGGCAGCCGGGATCGACTCCCGATCCCTCCCCTCAGGATGCGGCGGCCGGGATCGATCCCCGATGCCGATCGCTCCCCTCAGGATGCGGCGGCCGGGATCGATCCCCGACGCCGCCCCTCAGGCTCGTTGGGGCGGATCCCGCCCCGCCTCTCCCGGTCACTCCGTGGCTCCTCCCGCGCGCTCTCTCGGTGCGGCGCAGTCTCGCGAGAGCGGCGGCCGAAGATGGCGGCGCGGAGCCGAGGCCCGTGAGGCGCGGGCGGAGCTGCGGCCGCTCCGGGGGCTCCGGGCGGGACCGGCCCCGCGGGCTCCGAGCGCTGCCGGGCGCTCCCGCCGGCCATGACCGGCGAGAAGCTCCGCTCGCTGCGCAGGGACCACAAGCCCAGCAAGGAGGACGGAGACCTGCTGGCGGCCGGCGAGGACGAGGCGGCCGCGGCGCCCGGGGGCGCCTTCACGGGCGGGAAGGGCGGGCGGGCCGGGGGGCACCGCGGGCCC